AAGCACCATGTATATGGTGGGCCCAGGGAAGCTACTGCACAAGTCCTGATCAGGGTTCCCACACCCAAGATCACCTCATATTCATATGCAGGGATGAGATGCTCTTGGTCATTCAATTCCATCTTCAGTGAGAACCTCAGCTCATGGTGTGGAGGGGGGTTGTTAATGTCAGGCAGACAAGGATGAGGATGACTCCCTAATCACTCAGTAAGAGGAGTCTAAACACCCGCCAAGGCTGGTACCAGAAAGACTTGAAAATGTGCTTTAGGGCATGGGGGAAAGGTGTGAAGTTCGGAGGGCAATGGCATCTGAGTTTGAGTTTATGCAAAGAAATTTCCTCTCCTCATGAATTGCCTGTTAGCTGTATTAGAAACATTAAACTTATTCAATTTACCCAGCCCCAACTGTCACTTTTGCATCCTGGTCACCTGCTCTTGCAACTATGTCAACTCCAAATGCAGTACTTACTCAAAATGTGGAGCTCAAAATCATGGGGGCATGGGGAGAGTAAGGACAGGTGTAAACCACTACAGGTGAGTCATAAAGTCATCTAGAAAATATCTTTGGCCTTAATTCAGGTTCTGGAGGACAGTGGGTATTTGGGTCTGATGAGGGCTCCTGCCCATCTTAACCACCTGTATTTTCTGGATGGAGCCCCAAGGCCATGTGGATACCAGCTTTGGGTTCCGAATCCACCACATCTAAGGAAGTTGCAGGACTTGGGGCATATGCATTTACTCCAAGGCTCATCGTGCCTCAACTTTACCCACCAGATGGATAATGGAACCATAGTTATTGGGAACAGACTCTTGGGTGCTTTCTGTATTTTCAGTGGGCTCAGTATCAATCCTCCTGGTAATTTCCTTTCTGTATTAATGAATATGACTCCAAGGTGAGCTTGGATTTCTCAGGCAATTCAGAAATTTGAGTGAGCACTTGCAGGTGTCTGTGATTCATGTCCAGCAGATTCCCTCCTCTGTCTTTTACTTCTTTTGGTGGCTACAACACCTCAGTCCTATAGATCAGAAACTTGGGTTTACTAAAACTCTGATGAGTTAAAGTTAACCTGCTACTCTAGAAAAGGAGTTTGATGTTGCAACCAGAATGGGGTGGTCCATGCAAATTTTAACAGAGAGAAAACCAAAAGAGCTCTCAGTGGTCAAAGTGGGACCAATATTCATACCCAAGGAAATTGTCCCAGTTATTGGATTATAATCCAAAGTTTATAATAAGATTATTAGCTCATAACAATACAAATAAATGTTGACATAAATAAATAAGTAGGAGGGAAAAACAAATCTTTCTTACAAATTCCAAATAATAGGTATAGCTACTCCTCCTTTCAGGAGGTGGAACCTAATGTCTTTTCTCTTTAAGGGTGAGCTGACTTAGTGACTTACTTCCAGAAAATCAAACTTAATATCACCAGAAGTAATAGCTATTTATATCATTTATCCCCTGATGTGGTGTGACAAGAAGGATACGCCAAAACTTTGTGATGCCTTTCCAAAAATCCCAAGCACCAGTCTAACCAACAGAAAGCACCAGAAAAATTTGGACTGGGGAGATATTCAGGAAGACCCATGGCTAGTACTCAAAACTACCCAAGGCCATGAAAAACAAGGAATGTCTGACATACCAGAGGAGACTGGGGAGGGATGACAATTAATGCCATGTACTTAGGATGTTGACTGGATTCTGGACTACAAAGAGAAGAAACAAACTGATGAATTTTTAAAAATCTGTATTAAGTCTGGAGTTCATTTAAAAGTATTGTACCAGTGTTGGTCTTACAAATGTATCATATTTATAACTTTTCTGTAAATATAAAATTATTCCCAAATAAAAACTCATTTAAAAAATTGTGTTAGGAAAGGACTGAGTGTTTTGTCCAACAATTCCCCCTGACCTCACCAAATCCATTTGGAGATGTCTTAGAGGATCATGTGATGCTCTAAGAAGGGGAGTGAAACTGGGATCTGGAGTGCTGGGCCTGGGTTAAGGGGAGATCAAGAACTTGTGATAAATTTGGGAAGTTTGAGTTGCTGCTGGCAGCTAGGTGTGTGTGTGTGTGTGTGTGTGTGTGTGTGTGTGTGTGTGTGTATGTGTGTGTGGTGTGAAGATATAGGATCAGAGATAGCCATGTAGCCTTCCAAGTTAGGAGGCTGGATGGAATCAATTAGAGAGAGGGTCTAGGCAGAATAGAGTCCTACCATTGTGTCCTGGGGGATAAGGAAGAGCTAGCAAAGATGTAGTCAGATAAATCAGATACCCAGGAAAGACAGTCACTCCCTTGATGAAAAAAATGAATTAAAGAGGGAAGGGGCATTGCTATGTCCCAGGACGCTACCTGTAAAGAAGGATCATGTACATTTTTCTCATGTTGTGTTGCTAGGTCTGTAGCTGGGAGTCTGAGCAAATAGTAGGCACCTACTGAATATTTGCTAAGCCTCAACATTCATCTTCCAACATTCCTATCAGAACTGTCCCCAGTAAACAAAGAGCAGAGGAAATGCACCAATCTATTCCATAACAGGACTTTATAAATGAAGAAACAATGCTCCTTTGTGCACCTCGACTCACCTGCTCTTGAGATGTTTTTTAAAGCTTATTTATTTCTTGAGCAAGAGAGGTCTTCTTGACAAGGTCTCACCATGCCGTGATCCCCACCAAGGGTGTACCCAACGTGTTCATATTGACCCAGAACTTGAACTTCTGCCTTCTCATATGACTTCAGTTTCATGCAGCAGCATCCTATCCTCTATGCCATGATGACCGAGCCGGTTCCTGATTCTTTAAAAATTATTTTTATTTGACTTTATTTATTTATTTGCTTAGAGTGACAGAGTGAGAAAGAGTGAGGGAAAGTGAGGAAGCAGACCACCAGGTCTGGGACTCCAACTGCAGTTGGCTGTGTGGGAGTCCAGTGCCCTTAACCAGCACGCCACCTGCCGGTCCCCTATTCCTGATATCTTAACATGACTTTTCCATCACAGGACAATGACAGATGAACAAGGGGATCTGAAAAATTTCACAGAAAAGTGAAGGAAGTATGAGTTCATATTTTTGCACACACAAAAAACCTGGAAATCCTTGGATAGTTGTTTCATAATAGGAGTTTCTATGAACTTTATGAAACCCCTTTGTACCAAAGAAAGCTATACCTACTTTTTTTCAGAAATCAGAACAGTCCCTTGAAAATCACAGTGAAGGCAGATCATACTGAATATGGTCCACACATTTAAACACATATATCGGGAGGGTCACCAGGTGGCTTAGTGGTTAAGGCGCTTGATTCTCACATGACTGACCACAGTTTGAGTCCCAGACCCAGCAGCTTTAAACTCATGCCGGGGATGTGTGTGCATGCATGCCCAAAATTCTGAGAGGAGAATGGAGGAGACGGGATTGTGGCATGACCATTCCCTCTGGGGAGTGATTTATCACTTTCCCTCTCTCTGTTTCTCTGATGAATGCATATGCCATATAGCAAAAATCTCTCTAAAAACCCCAAAGACAAAAGCTAAAAAACACATCAGTTGGTATAAAGGTTCTGAAAGGGATGCAAATCCAGACAGAGCCAACTTTCAAAAAATAACCAAAGAAATGAAAAGCCAACACATGTCAAACCAGGAACAACACAGACAGTACCATGTTCTTCTGCAGCTGAGTGAAGTGGTTGGAGAAGCTGATGAGGTCTCTGATGAGATACAGGGCTGAAAGGTTCAAGAGGCCAGCTCTAGGACACCCTTTACCCATGAAGCCAGAGCTATGAAGTAGAGCATAGACCGGGAGGGAAGGACCTGAACGGCAGGACCCGATCTGCTGTCCCAGCTGGCAGTCTGTCCTCTATGAGCCCCATGAGGAGATTTTCGCTTTGCATTAGGGAGAAAACATTTTCCTGACTCATGGGTAAAAATGATTGCTCAGTACTGGTACAGAAAAACAACTTAGAACCAAAGTATAAAAGCCCCTCAAATTATGAAAATTTACCCTCTACAGAAGAGAAATGAAGTTTGCTGATGCGTGACTTCAATCTCTCTTTTGCATATGAGAGAAAAAAGCAGGACCAAAGAAATGCAGCACTTCAGAACAAATGATATATAGGACTTCAGGCCCTCGCTAAAAGACAAATAATTTTTAAGTAAGAGACAGGGTTTTTTTTTTTTTCTTTTTTGGAGAGGTTTTTATTTTTTATTTTTTATTTTTTGCCATAGGGTGCGTGTACTCGCCAGAAAGACAGAGAGAGACAGAGAGACAGAAAGTGAGAAATCACCCCCCAGGGGGGATGACCACGCCACAATCCCTTCTCCTCCTTTCTCCTTTTGGGATCTTGGGCACAAACGCATACGCGCCTGGCGTGAGTTTAAGCCACCTGGTCCGGGACTTGAACTGCAGTCGACTACGTGGGAGTCCAGCGACATAGCCATTATGCTAACTGCTGGTCCTGAGACAGATTTTCATAACAGTTGGAACTTCCTATTTTCATCTAGAAATACATAAATAGATATGTGTGTGTGTGTGTGTGTGTATTGTTGTCAGGAAAGTCATGACACATTTTTGCCTAGAAAGCATTGAAAAATATGTCAAGACTTTCCTGCCTACCCAATGTATATATTTTCAGTTTATAAGGACCTGGTATATCCGTATAAGTTGATATACTGATAAATCTTTTTTTTCTCTCTTTTTTTTTTTTTGGAGAGGTTTTTCACTATAGGGCGCGTGTGCTCGCCAGGCAGACAGAGAGAGACATAGAGACAGAAAACATGAAATCACCCCCCAGAGAGGATGGTCGTGCTGCAATCCCTTCTCCTCCATTCTCCTCTCTGAATCTTGGGCACGCATGCACATGCACCCGGCGTGAGTTTTAAGCCACCGGGTCCGGGACGCGAACCACGATCGACTACGTGGGAGTCCAACGACATAGCCATTATGCTAACTGCTGGTTCCCAATATACTGATAAATCAAAAGTGGAATGGAGGCAACCAGAGGGTGGGTGATGGAGCATGTAGAAGAGCGATTTTAATTCTGGGAATGCTTTGGGATGAAAAAGAGTTCAAGAATCAGGGAAGAGGCTGTTGATTAGTCACTGTGTTCTTCTCCTGCCTGCACATGAAATGGACCATATAACCCTTGTAAGGATTCTGAGAAAAGTCAGTCAGCTAGCTTAAGGCTGACGTTTTTGTGCACCAGTTGGACAAGGAGGAAAGCAGGTTTATGTGTGACTGCATATCGCAGGAGGCAGAAGAAGGTGTTGACAGGCCTCTTCCTTGCTGTGGAATAATTTTCTCTTATCCCTTCTATTGTCAAGACAGGCTAGAACACTTGCCTCCTTCATTCTGACAATGTTGGATGATCAGAGAGATGCTCAAGGTGGGGCAACTCAGGAACTTGCACTTAAGCTGTGCAATTGGGCCTGCCTAAATGTGTGTGTGTGTGTGTGTGTGTGTGAAGATTAGGAAGATGGGGATGGTGCTAGGCCTACCTGAATTTGGGGAGATGGGGGTAGGTACCAGCAATTTTTCTTGAACAGACAGGAAGGAGGCAGAGTCATGTAAAACTTATGTTAAATTAGAAGAGCGTGGCAGGAAGATGAGGAGGGCTGACGGGCCATCTCCCCTCTCCGAACCCTTTCTCGATGTTTTCATCATTGGTACGCATTGTCTTTCCATCCTTCTGCAAGATCACAAATCGACTCCGTTTTATGCAAGGAGTTAAGTTAAGCGGCCCATTATTCCACATGTACTCGGGGGAGAGGACCTTGGTGGGTTTGTGGTGAAGTAGGTACTTGTTCAAGTGGCTCTCCTCGTGCCATATGGCCTCGATGTGACCAGCTTCGTCAATCATCATTGCCTCATGACAGGCCTTGGTGAGCCGATACACCTCTGGCACTGATCCCCCAAATAAAGCCGCCATGTAATAAAAGTCCCCCTCATCCTGAGGAATATAGGCTTGGGACTGAGGCCGGCGTTCATAGGGGAAGGCATCCCGTCGGAGCCAGAAGAAGCCAGGATGGATGGTTCCAAACAAGGAGGAGAGGATCTCCACGCCCACGTGGTCATTGAACTTCATGTCCACATCTGCACACACAAGGTAATCTACCTCCCTGAGGAAGCGTCTCTGGGAAAAGATGCTGATCACCTCCATGCGGTGCATGGAGATGTCCTGCCAGCGGGCATAGCTCTGGACCCTGAGAATGGCCATCTGCCTTCCTTTTTGGAGCAGGATCTGTGGAACATGCTTAGGTTGGTCGGTGAAGATGTAGTAGTTCACTCTGTGTCCCACCATGAAGTATGTCTCTGCGGTTTCCAGAAACAGCTTCAGAAAGATTATGTATTTTTTTACGGCAAACACGGTTAATCCAATGGTGGCATTCTGCTGTCGGAACTGCTGATTTAGTATGTGGATGTTGAAAGTCCCTTCCCACACAACGGGAGCCAGCCAAGGTGTCACCACAAGGACATCATTCCTAGAGGGCTTTAGCAGTTGTGGTTGGCCATATGCCATCCTTGACCATTTTACATCTTGTTGGCCACGGAGTTTTCTAACAGCCATGCTTGCCCTAGCTAACATACTTTTCAGCTTCTGGTTCTTTGGGTTCAAGTAATAGCTAAATAAGGCCAAGATGAGGGTTAGCAGGAGAATGGCCACACAAAGCGAACAGCATTTTTGTTTCCTAGACAACATCTTTGGTAGCCAGACGATGGCTCTATACCTGAAGAATGTAGCTTCTTCTCTCTTCTGTGGTAAAAGAGTACTCCCCGATCCTTGACCTTCCACCCTTTGTAGTCACCCTAGGGCAGGCTGAAGAAGAATCTCTGGATCTGAGTGGTCCACGTCCTCACTCTCTGCCTGTTATTCCTGGCTCCTCCCAGGGTTGAGGCCCACCTGTGCTTGGGAGCACTCCAAGGCACCCTGGGAAGAAAGACTCAGGCATCAGTGGACCATGATAAATTCAGTTTTAGTCTGAGGTCTGTCACAGTAGCCAAGTGGCAGTACTTAGACAATAGACAACTAGAACCAAAGGCCACTGT